TCTTAATCCTAACGCAAAGTTTTGAATATCCAGTCGGGGAAGCATAGAGTCTTGTCTAGATAAAGACTAGAATCTAGATCTAGATCTAGATCTAGAATCTAGATTACATCAAGATCTACATCTAGACTAGATCTACATCTACATTACACACACACACACACGCACTCTTGAAGATAAAACTGTCCGATTCTGGCGATTAACATACTCACGCATAATATGCGTGCATGTGGGTGTGTACACAGAGTGCAGTGTTTAGTTTAGGATACCAGTGTGTCGACCTTTATAATATATAAAGGCTATTGAGGAGATTCCCTATTTTATTGATAATATACATAGGCCTATATATTGTATTAAATTTTTTGAAGGAATTCAGTTCTAACTTAAATACGTTACACTTTCAGGTGTCAATTATCCACTCTCCGTCCACACTTAAATTTATATAATTATTAAAAAAAAAAATCTTATAGTGTATCCGAGATTGCTGTTTACTTTCGGTTTCTCAAGAGAGGAAAGGAAGTTGATCACTTCCACTTTCCAAAGGAACCGCATTGACGGCTGCACATGTCGGTTTGTTTACTTCCTCAGTGGCCTGAGCCCTACGTTTTTGTATGTCGCCCTCGGTATATAGAACTCTCGAGCGGTGGAAGTTGGATTTTGCTGGCAGATTTGCCATGTGTACATTTATTTCCATTTTTCTGTTGACATACTTTTATAAGATTAGTAGGCCTACACATAATTGTTGTTAATGTACAGGGACGTAGACTTTCTTAAAAATTCAGATGAGAGGAGAAGAATAGGCCTGGCCTAGTTTAGCCCTGACCTGTGACCCTGTGTCATGCCAAACCTAGCCTAGGCCTAGACGGTCAGAGAGATCTATTCTCGTGTTCATAGAGGTCTATTATTAGGGCATAGTTCACAATACGTTCACTTCCGCTCTGAGGGAATATGGGAATGGGAAATGAGATTTATTTATTATTACATGGCGCCTTGACGAGCTCATGGTGAGGATCGAAATTTCTGTTCTAGATCTAGATCTAGTTTTTTTTTGCTTCTAGCACAAGGACATAAGCAACAAACTCGTTTCTATTTAGATAACATGTAGCTGCAATCATTTAAAAAAATAATAAATGTGTGTTTGACTGTGCTGTACGTTTAGTCCGCCCCGCCATTTACTTTTGTCGTGCTTCCTAGATCTAGCCTTCGCCTTCGCAACACAGCTGGAAATGGAGGCCTAGATCTAGATCTAGATCTAGATTCTAGATCTAGATATATCTAGATCTAGATTGTAGTCTATATTTAGAATAAAATGTAATTTTAGATTTAGACTTTCACAAGAATCTAACCTAGATCCAGTTATTTGGCGTTTTTTCGGTAGTTCCCACCCCGATAGTCTAATTGTTATTCGTCGATTTTGCCCCAAGAATACGGGGGTTTCTGGGGGGCAAGCCCTGACCTATAAAAATATGTGGGGGGGTTTCAGC